TAAGTTATTCTTGTTTAAAGTTTTAAAAAAATTTATTAAAAAATATTTGCTTGATTTCTATTGACTCAACCTTATATGCTAATATTGTATTAGTCATATAATTGTTTAGTCTTGTATACAGGCTTAATAGTATATAGTTGTTGGTTTCTTTTTATTCTAAATTTGTAACTTTTTTTTCATAAATTTGACACTTATTTTCTTCCTTTATAAAAATATAAGAAATAAACTATTCTACTTGGATTTAGATAGAAAAAGTTTTAAAGACCAAATATAGCTGAGTATTATGCTATAGCAGATTTTTAAATATATGTAGCAGTGCATATAGAATTTGTTAGCAATATTAGTACAATAACTATACTTAGGCACTTTTAGAGCAGCTTGATATTAGCTAAATATAAGATTGTATATAAACTTATATATATCTAATAAATTTGTATATGGTTATTAAAAAAAAAATATATATATATATATATATATATAAAATAGTAAAAAGTTTGGTATTGTACTTTCTATATTTGCTTTTTATTTTACAACTCTTATTATATAGCTTTAAATATTATTATACTTTTTTCTTAAAAATATCCAGATATTTAGTTTATATTTAAATCTTGTAAGCTAAATCTTGTTATTAATATACTTGGCTTGTTTAATTAATATATATATTTTTTTAATTAAGTTTGCTAGCTCTTAGGATTTAGGGTATATTTTAAAAATTAGGCATGCTTTAGATTGAAGATATACTTATAAGCATACCTTTTTAGGTGGATTTACTTACTTTAAAATTATTCTAACTATAATATTTTGTTATAGTTTTTAATACTATCTAATTTATAATATATTGAATTTAAATATCTTTTAATCCCAAAATAGTACTTGCACTATATATAATATAGTATAATTGATTTTATCTACTGTATATCTACTCCTTTTTTACTAAATAGCTTAAGAATTTTTTAAGCTTTTTTAGTTTTTTTATACAAATTTACATCTGTAATATTAGATAAAAAAGATTTTATTTCTTTGTATATTTTTGATCTTGCTATTTTATCTTAATCTTACTATCTGCTATAAGGCTTTTAATCTTATTTTTGAATTTTAAAAAATAATAATACCAACATAAAATTTGCTTCTAACCTGATTTAATTGCTTTATTAAATAAGTCTGATAAACTTTGTACAGAGTCTGGAATCATATCCTGTATACAAGACTTACTAATTTCTATTTTATCATTATTTGTATTAATTTCAGAAAGAACAATACTTTGTGTTTGATTAGAGGTTATCTCTTGAATTAAACCTTTTATTATTTGGTTATCAGATTCAAGCATTTTGGAGGTAGTATCAAAATTGTCAATGGTATGATTTTGATCATGATATTTTGTCATAGTTTTTGTATTGTATAATGATGATGTTTTTGTCTTTTCTTCTAATAATTCAGATTCGCTAAAGCATGTTCTATTAAAGTAATATATATCAGAAATTGTATTGTCCATCTGTTTTGAAGTCGCTTCTTGGTGAGATAAAGAAGAGACAAAGTCCTGAGTCTTCGACTTGTCTGTAATCTGTGCATTTTCGCAATTCTTGCTGGGCAATAAAATGGAATATTCCGGAGACTTTAAATCATTAGTAACTGTTTGATTTTGCTTCTCGATATTCTTAACAGATCAGTTTAATTCTGCAATTTCAATCTTAAGCTTAGCATTTTCTGTTTGACTTAACTTTGTAATCTGTTCTAATTCTGCAATTCTAACCTCAAGTTCGTCTTTTTCTTTTGTGATTTGTTCCAATTCTTTGATTTTAGCCATAAGTCTGGCATTCTCTTGTTTCAATAAATTTAGTTCAGATTTGAAGTTTCCCATTGTTTTATATAAGATACAGATATGTTCAAATGTTTGTTTATATAAATACTGCAACAAAATGTTTTAATCAGAATTATAAATACAAATAAGTGAAATTTCGTGATCAGGCTTTTCTCCTGAGTTAGATACCCACTATTATAATTATAATACCATATTAAATATCATGTATAAAAAACTATGACAAAATATCACAATCATATCAATATATATTCAGAAATATACATGCTATATATATTTTTGTATATGTATCAATACCATATCTCAGCCTTCTTTACTCGCTAGAAACCACAGAAACAGAATTATCTATACATACAGTTGCCTCTGTGGCTATGCCGACCAGCTACATTCTAACTCCAACACATGCTCTCCATTAGGACAAGCCTTTCTTAAATACAATATTTGGTCTACTATGTGGATCAAATATAGCATACCTATTAATCATATCTTAACTATTCAAATCTAGGTGAGTCTTGACCACTCTAGTAGGTTTAGGTCGCGGATAAATCAGTCTGAGCTTCTATTCTTGCATGTAATTTATATTTATTTGTTCATATACAAATTAAGTCTTTATATAGTCTCTATGTAATTACTTATATAAATTATTTAATAAAGATATGAGCAAGGCCTCACCTTAAAACCAAAAAAAAAAAAAAAATTATTATTATTATTTAAAAATAATGCTCCAGACTTACACTAGTTTCTAGTTCCTAGTATATAATAATAAAAGATGATTAATTTGTAATTGTATTTATATTATAGTATTACTATTAATTGGGCTAATAGTTAACTTAATTCTGAATTTATAACACTTGCATATATAATTAGTCTTCAAGTTGTGAGTTAGAAAGCTACTTAATACTGCATTTTGCTTATATTTACTAGTCTTTTATCTAAGCATACAATGATTGTGAGCTAAACACATAATAATAGTTCTAAATATTTACTATAATAATTACTTTTTATTTAATATTAATTATATGATAAGAGTAACTAACTACTAGAATTAATTTGTATCTCTATATCTTTAGCTATTATTTAGAAGTTTTATAATATTCTTGTAGCTTAGATTATTTAGACAATTTAGTATTAACAAATTATATCTAAGTTATGGGTTTAATTCTAAAACTATAATAATAGTTGAATTGATAATTTGAAGAATAATATAATTCTGTCATTATTGCAATTTAATAGCTTTTTTTATTATCTGTATATATATCTGTTATTACTTCAAATTTTTGTCAAATTATATCAATTAAAATAGCATTGTAAAGAGGTAATGTGATTCAGCCACAGCAAAAAATATAATTTCAAACTTATAACTCAGAATCTAAATATGTATTGATTGACAAAAATAAAGAAATTTAATAAATACTATTTTGGGTTTGGCTTGAAGTGATGCTTTATTGAAGAATAATAGTAAGACATCTTTAATATTTAAAAGTAAAAACTAAAGTCATAATTATATAAATAAGTATGAATTACTTATTATTAGTTATTGATTCTCCACAATACTCTAAATAGTTATATTGCTTGGAAAATTATAATCATAGTAGCAAAGCCCCAAAGTTCTCTGTAATATATAAATAATCTTTGATCTAATATATATAAATAAAGGAGACAAGTATTATAATAATAAAGACTACTTTATAATAAACTTTGGGTATTCTAGTGGCAATATAATCCTTGGTTTTTAGATCAAATCTTCTACATCTTTTTTTGAATAGCCTTTGGTCTTCATCGTGTTTTAGATTACAAGTACTAGTTACCTTAAATCTGCTCTTTTATATTTGGTATTGACTATGAAATTGAACTACCCAAAATTCTAATATCTAATACTGTAAATCTAAGACAAAAATTTAAGTGTTTTTAGTTTGTTTTTTGTAAAAATATAGGTGAATCTGCTTGTAAGACATAATGATAGGGCCTGGTCTAGCAAGAAATAAAATCTATACAAAAATAAAGAAGTGAAATACCAAAAGATAAACTAAAGTTATAAATGAAAAAAAAAATTCTACAACCCGGCCCCAACTATAAAGTAAATATAAAGAAGGTCTAATTGTGTTTTTAACCCAAGTCACTCTTTTTTACACTATTACTACTATGCTTAAAGTGTGTTTTTCTGCCAAAGAATTTTGTTTTTTTTTAAGATTTTATACATAGTATATATAAATTAAGTGTGAATAAATTATGAAAAGGTAATGTGACCTGGCCATAGCAAAAAATGTAATTTCAAGCTTATGACCTGAGACCTAAATATATATTGATCAACAAAAATAAAGGAATTTAATTAATGCTAATTTGGATTTGGCTTAAGGCAATACTTCATTAAAAAATAATAGTAAAATGGCTCTGATATTTAATAGTAAAAACTAAAGTTATAGTTATATAAATAAGTATAAATTACTCATTGTTAGCTATAGATTCTTTCTTTCCTAATACTCTAAATAGTCTTATTGCTTAGAAGATTAAATTATAGTAGCAAAGCCCCAAAGCTCTCTGTAATATATAAATAACCTTTGATCTAATATATATAAAAGAAGATAAATATTATAATAATAAAGACCATCTTATAATAAACTCAAAAGATTCTAATAGCAGTAGAATTCTTGGTTTTTAGATCAAATTTTCTATGCTTTCTTTTGAGTAGTCTTTGGTTTTTGGTATGTTTTAGATTGCAAGTACTTGTTATCTCAAATTCACTTTTTATAGCATATATATAGTATATTATTTTACAATTTAAAGTCATATTGATATATATATTAATTTTTTTAATTGATAAAAAAATTTTTTTTTTTTAATGTTAAAGGTGAGACCATGCTCTTATCTTTATTAGATTTAACAAAAACTTCTTACTTTATTGAAAAAGGTTTTATATTTTAAATCTAAAATTAAAAAAAAAAGAACTTAGACATATATCTAAGTAAACCTAAATACTTATCTGTGGTCTAAACTTACTAGAGTGGCCAAGTCTCATCTAGATTGAGGATAAGTAAAAATAAGAGAAGGATGCGAAGAGAATTTAATCTAGTTAGAATACCAAATTTCTAATTTATAGAGTATATTAAGTATGGATAAATTGGAAAGATTTTCAGAAAGAATAGTTAAACTTGAAGAAGTATATTAAAATTAGCAGAGATAGTGTTATTATTACTTGAAGCAAGATTGAATTGTAATCTTGAGGTGTAGTAAGAGATCCAGATATTTGTATAGATTTGTTGATTAAAATAGAGAGGAATTGAATAGTAAGAGAACAGGCAGAGTTGTTGGAGGAAGTATAATCTTGTATAGTATTTATAATATCAACTAGAACAAGGCCAGTTATTGTAGAAAACAGTGATGGTTTGAATGTAAAAGTATAAATTTGTAAACAGTCAAGATATTTAATTTGGCTATGAAGATATTGTGTTTAGGTATGTGAAATTTGGGGTTTACTAAAAGTTAAGATATATTGTAAAAATGTATTAAGAAGTTTTAGTATTGGGTTGGAAGAAAGGCAAAATACCCAGTGAAGTGTATTAGTAGGTCATTGGCAAATATGACAGGAGTTAGGATAGAATGAGTATCTTTTGTGAAGAATATATAGAAATGGAAGGTTGTCAAGTAATAGTTTAACTCTGAATGTTTTGAGTATTGATAATTGAAAGTTATATGCAAAGTTTGAGATTTTTTGGTTGTTGTTAAAATATAGCCAGGTGGTATTTCAATGAATGTCCTGTAAGAGAGAAAACCATTGCTGAAAGCGATATTGGGAAGACCATCATGCAAAAATATTTGCATTGCAAATAGTTCTAATACTACACCAAACAGGTAACTCAAGAGAGAAGTTATTACAAAAAGAAACAAAATGAGCATTATATATATTGCCAAAGTTAAGAGTAAGAGTTGATGTATTGTGGTGATTACAAGCTAATTCATTAGCTTTGTTATTAAGTTCATTGTCTTGATGTGCAGGCACTTTATAAAAGGTAATAGAGAGGTTGAATGAGGAGCAGAAGTTTAGGAGTATTTTTCAAGTAAACCAGTATGAAGTGTTTGAAAAGTTTGCTATTGAGGTAGAATTTAAGAGGCTGTAATATTTTGAGATAACTGATTGAGAGTCAGTATAAATATGAATAGTAAAGTTTTGGAGAACTGTACTAATGACTAACAGGATTGTGAAAAATTCTACCTTAAAGAAGCAAAACCAAAGTTCGATTTGGGCTTAGAAAGTGTGTTGTATTGTATGGTTATTAGTTTGTAGCCAACCAATGCCTATAGAGCATTGGGGTTGTCTATATTTGTAACAGAACCATTAGTATAAAAGGTGAAGGTGTTTAAGTTGCTATTTTGAGTAGCAATATGTTGTAGTGTGTAAAGCGCAGGACCAGGTTAGAGATTGGATTAGAGCAGTAGGTATGAGACCTTTGAGTGTGGAGTCAAGGGTGTAGGGGTATAGCTATGATGGAGAGAAGTTGAAGGAAGGGTGTGAAGTGATAGTGTATATTAGATTATTTAGTTGGTGTGTTGTAAGGTTAA